TCTTTTGCCAAGCAGCAGTGCATCGGTTGGACTCCGAATTGGGATTTTAGCTCTTTGAAAATTTTCTTTTGCAGTAGCCACTAACAGCTCAATCCAGGGAGCAAGTTGTTTTTGGTTGAAGAGTGTCATTGTTATATTTATTCGGATTTTGATTTGTGATCTTATTTGTGCAATTTTTTGTGTTAAGTTAGTAATTACCTTATTTTGTTTTTGTTTATTTTTTTAATCTAACTGTCGTGCTCTACCATAATTGTTTCTAAAAAAAAAAAATAAAGTCCCATTTTTTCTTTGTGTGCAATAAGAAGCCTCCTTGTGTCCGTTTATTGTGCTATTTTCCATCTCTATTCATTCGTGCAAATTATTTAATTTTGTTGGTGGATGCTAGTAAGTGTAGGAATTTTATCATTTTAGATTGCTAGTTTTTGTGCATTTTTCTTGAGCTTTCTGGTTTATGAGTAGCCGTCGTATTGGAAAGAGTGAGCTTGATTATATTTCTGAAATTGAAAAAGTTGCTTGGTTTTTGAGAAAGGAAGCTAAGAAAAAGAAAACTAATTTGCATTTTAGGGTGAATTTAGATTCTCATTCATCAAATTCTGATAATTTTGATTTCCAGGAAGAAGAAAATATGGGTGAATATAATAAAACATTGAAATAATTAGCTGCACCAAACTTGAATCAGCAACCTTTGTGCATTCATTTTCCAAATGTTGAAGCAGCATTTGAGCTTAATTCTGGTCTGATATATTTACTTCCTACTTTTCGTGGTTTTGCAGGAGATGATCCCCACAAGCATTTGAAGGAATTTCATGTAGAGTGTTCAACAATGAAACCACAGGGTGTTACTGAGGAGCAGATTAAACTAAGAGCTTTTCCTTTTTCTTTAGGTGATAAAGCAAAAGGCTGGTTGTATGATCTTCCCTCAGCTTCAATCAACACATGGAACGACATGAAGAGATTGTTTTTGGAGAAATTCTTTCCTGCTTCACGAGCTGCAAATATAAGGAAGGATAGAATGCGGAATTCGACAAATGACAGGGGAGTCCCTTTATTAGTATTGGGAAAGGTTCAAAAAGTTGTGTGCCAGTTGTCCTCATCATCAAATTTCGGACCAACTTTTGATCCAGTACTTTTATGAAGGCCTCTTACCGATGGATATGAGTATGATAGATGCAGTCAGTGGAGGAGTTCTAGTAGATAAAACACCAGCAGCTGCAAGGCAATTAATTGCAAACATGGCTGAAAATTCTCAGTAATTTGGGTTGAGAACGGAAGGAAGTGTGAAACAGGTCAACGAGGTAAGCCATTCTACTCTTGTCAATCAAATTTCTGACTTAACTTCTTTGGTTCGTCAAAGGGCTGTTGGACAGTTACAGGCAGCTAAAGTTTGCGGAATATGCACAAATTCTGGGCACCCAACAGACATGTGTCCTTCTGTTCAAGAAGACCCAAATCAGCAAGTTAATGTCGTAGGAGGATTTTCAAATCAACCCCAAAGAAGATATGATCCCTACTCCAATACCTATAATCCTGGATGGAGGAATCATCCAAACTTCAGCTATGGAAATAATGATGGTCAGCAGAGATTTCCTCAAGCCTATGACAGGGCTCCATCACAACCACCAAATTCAGGTACTCCTCTTGACGAAATTGTTAAAAATCTTGCTATTAACACTCAACAATTTCAGCACGAAACAAGGGCGAGTATCAAAGACTTGGGAAACCAAGTTAGCCAACTTGCCAACAATGTGAGTAGATTGGAAGCTCAAAATGTTAGAAAGTTACCCTCACAAACGATCATAAATCCCAAAGAGAATGTTTGTGCAATGATGTTAAGAAGTGGGAAAGAGATCCAAGCAAGTGCACCTTCACTCGTGAAAGAGGTGGAGGAGAAAAAAATAGAAGAAATCAACAAAGAATCTCCCAAAAATTCAGCTGAGGTAAAACTAAAACCTTCATGGCTTAATACTTCTTACAAACCTGTTCCTCCATTTCCTAGTTGGTTGATGGAAGATAAAAAAGCTGAACTTGAAGAAGAGACGTTGAACACTTTCAAAAAGGTGATGATCATTCCATCGTTAGAGGCTATTAAGGAGATTCCCAAGTATGCAAAATTTCTAAAAGAGTGCTGCACGAAGACATGAAGGAAAAAGCTCTTTCCAGAGCATGTAGTTGGTAAAATCCAGAACGGGAGTCACATAGTTCTTTATGTTGGAAAGGCCAATGGCCAAATGAGAAGTTGGTGACGGGTGAGAAGGGTTGCCGAAAATAGCAGATGTGTTCAGGGTTTCGGTTGACGGAGTAGCAATTTGCTATTAGACAGCAGAATTAACAGAGTTCGTCATTGCGGCAGAGAAGAAGACAGTTGGGAAGGAAAAGGATCAAACAAAGAGGCAGTGATCGCTGACAAGATGAACGAAGAGAAGAAAAAAAAATTTGACGACGAGGAAACCCTAAACTAAGTTGGCGGCCTAGGAAAGAGAGAAAAGAGAGGTTGATACCATGAAAGAAATATTGTGTTACTTATTTACATTTTACATTGTGATATTTATAGTATAATAGTGTAACAACCCTAGCCGTCTACATAGGAAACCCTAATTCGGGTTTCGGCGTTTATATATTCTTTCAGGAAGGAATGAATGTATATTGTATGCACTGCGTTGAGACCTTCATTTCGCTAGCCATTCTAGGCAAGGCATATGCCACTTCGTGAATTGGATTTTCCGGCATGTACTAGAACAAAAGTAATTTTACCCCAATACAAAAACCAGTCACAACTCACAAACACAAATCCACACACTGCACCTCAATCCCTGCAAAAACAATCTTTCTCCGCCTCTCACCGGCAAAACTTCCATGCCAACTTAACCTCAACGGCGGCGAGAATTCCACCCTCTCAGTGACTCGACAACTCCTTCATTCTCCTACTTCGTTCTCCGGCGACATTCCTTGCCATGTACACTGCCGGTGAGAATCCCTTCCTCTCCTCTCACTGGCAAAACTCCTTTGACAACTTAGCCTCAACGGCGGCCATAATTCCTCCCTCTCTCTGACGCGATGACTAATTCCCTCTCCTAGTTCCTAATCATATTTCTTAATTCCTTAAATCCGAGATTTTCCGGCCCTGTTCTTTGCCCACCATAGCCCTGTTACAGTGATTAATTCTCGGTGATCCACTGTGGTGGTTGCATTGATTAACCTAATTTAAATTAGGGGTACAACTGAAAATATAAGGACAAAACGGACTTATACCTTGATTGGGTTGACTGAAAATTAAAAATGTTGTACCTTTTTAAATCGTATTATTTTTATGCGAAAGATGCAGTAATTGAATTCCATTCGGAATGATAACTTACTGGAAAAGGAAAGAAAAAATATTTAAAAAAGTGAAAGATATGTGGCACGTACGTGCTCGGAGCTCATGCATGCGCCCTTCGTATTATCAACGATTTCCCGATTTCGCATGGAACAATTGCCAATTAGCGTATAATCTTAGAAAAAAAAATTTATAAAAAAAAGAAAAAAATTGAAATGAATTGTCTTCAAAGGCCAAATTTCTGATAGTGTAATTTTAAGAACAATCATGTTTACGTGGAAAAATAAATTTAAATGGATTGTTCTGTAAGCGAAGAAGATCAACTAGCTAGTCCTCTACTCTGGAATGGCAAAGAGTTCTTGTACAAACAAACTATCAAAAGTGAAGGAATTCTTGATAGGAAGAAATTATAAAAATAAAAAAGAAAAGCAAAAGGTTTATGAATGCAGTACTGAGTGGAATTCATAAGTTTTGTTGAGTTATAAATAACTTTAAAAAGCCTGCGGACAAAAGCTTTGAAGCATGAAACTGAGTATCTAACTTCACTAGCTAGCTGTTGTTTAATGGACAAAAAGTTCATTCTTAATTGGAGCGCAATATTATTTGTATTTTTCTTTACCGAACATAATGTTTTTAAGTAGCATTATAAATGTTTGATTCCTCTATTATAAAAAGGTCAAAAAAGTTGAAGAAGAGAGCTGCATAGATGAGTCTTTGTACATGCATGCATGGAACGTGTATACCATAGTTTTTCCCATGTAACAAAAATAATAATAATAAAAAAATCAAGATTCTAATATTTTTTCATTAGATAGAGATAAAATAATCAAGAGGGTTGAGCATGATATGTGGGATTGTGAATTCTTACAAGTTATTTATATTGTCACCAAAAAAGACTGAAACTTGGTGGTCATTCGTAGATTACAGCTCTATTATTTCATTCCTACATTAATTAATTATTAGTATTCATGTTCCAATCGAAATTACAAAAGATGATTTAAGTTTCTCTGAATTGATTGAACGTTCATCGATCATTATTTTTATAAATTATTTTGTAAAAAATTATTTGGAAAATCTGAAATACAAGTAGAACGTAGTAAAGAATTTTCTTTTCCTCGTCTGCAATAAAAGTTCCATTATTGGCAACATTAGGTTTAAACTACGCATGCTAGGGGTGGCCATGATTTCATTCTATCAGTTGTCATAAGCCTAATGTACACATGCACGTGCGTAACAAACTTGGTTTCTTAATTAAAAGCAATATGTGAACCCTTGATCAATCCGCAACCATAAACTTGTGAAAATTTGAGTTTCAGTAAAAGGAGAAGCAAAAAGAAATACAGAATAGGTACAATTAAACATCAAGACAATAATAAGGAGACTCTCCTACTAACAAATTTCTTATTTTTAATTTTTGGTGAGTGACTAATAACTCCCTCAAGCATCCCAATTAATCAAGAGAAGGGGGGTTTTTGAAGGAAACTAAAAATGATGATCAATGACCTCCTGAATTGAATAATCTGAAAGGGAACGAAAAGAGGAAAAGAAAAGGGGTTTTTTGAAGGAAAAGGAATGGGGCAGGCTGGGGTTTGATCCATCAAAGAAAGAAGAAAGAAAGAATTGAATTTTGATAAGAACGAATGAAAAAAATGGGGAAAAGGAAACGAAAGAAAAGAGGGAAAATGGGTTAGGGTAACCATTCATCACCGCATGAGGTATCAGACGATGAAGTCCGGGATTCAGAATCGTCGTCATCTCGGATTTCTTGATCACCATTGGTGGGGTTCTTCTCCAGCATCTCCGGCACCGGGTTCCGCTCCTTCATCGCCCGGTTCTTGGTGGGCTTCTTCTGGGTCAGCTCCGGGAGCTGGTTCTCCTCCTTCTTTCTGCGCTTCTTGCTGGGCTTCATCTCCCTCAGCCTCTGGTTCGTTGTCTGCCGCCGGCGGTGGATAAAGGTTCTTTGTTGACGTGCCGCGCCCAACTGCTCCTCATCCAGTTGCCTGATTTCTTCCAACATTGGGTCTTCTTTCAGCGCTTCTTGCTGGGCTTCATCTCCCTCAGCCTCTGGTTCGTTGTCTGCCGCCGGCGGTGGATAGTAGGTTCTTTGTTGACGTGCCACGCCCAACTGCTCCTCGTCCAGTTGCCTGATTTCTTCCAATATTGGGTCTTCTTTCAGCGCTTCTTGCTGGGCTTCATCTCCCTCAGCCTCTGGTTCGTTGTCTGCCGCCGGCGGTGGATAATAGGTTCTTTGTTGACGTGCCGCGCCCAACTGCTCCTCATCCAGTTGCCTGATTTCTTCCAACATTGGGTCTTCTTTCAGCGCTTCTTGCTGGGCTTCATCTCCCTCAGCCTCTGGTTCGTTGTCTGCCGCCGGCGGTGGATAATAGGTTCTTTGTTGACGTGCCACGCCCAACTGCTCCTCATCCAGTTGCCTGATTTCTTCCAACATTGGGTCTTCTTTCAGCGCTTCTTGCTGGGCTTCATCTCCCTCAGCCTCTGGTTCGTTGTCTGCCGCCGGCGGTGGATAATAGGTTCTTTGTTGACGTGCCACGCCCAACTGCTCCTCGTCCAGTTGCCTGATTTCTTCCAACATTGGGTCCTCTGGTTGATTTTCAGGTTCAAATATGTCTATGGCATTGGCTACAATCATCAGGACTCCGGCGTCTGCAAGATCCCTTCTTGGCTCTCGGTGGACTCCCATTCCCTCGTCCAATTCTTCAACCGCCGTCTTCAGTGGTCCCCCCTCCGCCATTTTTGTCTCTTTCTTCCTTTCTTTGACCTCTTTCTTTCACTTTTTCAACTCAACTCTTTCTACTTTCTTTTTTTTCTTACTTTCCCTTCCGATTCTCTGTTTGTTTTTTATTGGCTCTTACTTCTGTCACACCAACAAAAATATACTGATACTCTCCAATCCCCGGATCCTATTTATATAACCGCAATCTAATTTTTCTTTTCTCTTTTTTTTTTTTAACTTACTTGAAATGATTTACCAAACATAAAATATTTCCTATGTGTGGTTTGTCATTTCTTTGTTGCCTTCCAATATCCTTGCGTATAACAATTTTTTTTTTTTGTTATCAAAAAACAAAATATAGAAAACCAATATTGTACAACCCATTAAAAATATTCAATTGCCCCTCCCTTTGCTCCGAAAATATAATCCACCTCAACTTTGATATTTGTAATGTTTTCACTCGTCCGCTGAAATCAAATACTTATAATCTGTTTGTCATAACCATCAATAATTTTTTAATACCTTCAAACTTTTCATCTTAGGCAATTTCTTCGAATATTTCCTCCGTCCTAAAATTAATCACATTATTTAGCCTACATTATCATTTTCTATTGTGATTTGTGCTAAAACTAAAATTCGAAACTTAGATTTTATCTTGTCGTTGCTTTTTTCATCAAATGCTTCATGACTCCGAATTTTATCGTTTTGTACAAAAATCCATTCAATATCTTTAAATTCAATACTCATGAATCAACCCAAAATGTTTTCATTTCATTAATTTAGCTTCGTATGTTTAATTTTACATCGGTAATTATCTTATTGCACAAGAGAAAAAGAACGCAAATCGATAGTACTCAAAGTTTCTATTTTATAGCAAGGGATTATATCTTGGAGCGACCGCACACGTTTCACTTCGAAGTCTGGAATTTTTGCTTCAAGGAACGAAAAAGGAATGAAAATTGAAGGTACTACAACAGAATTACAGGAAAGCGAAACTGGTTCCTTTCAAGTGATAATTATTAAGAGTTTGATTCTGTAATTTTGCCGTCGCGTTCATTCATTATCACATTTGCATAGCTCTTTGTAAATTACTCTTGGCACAGAGTTATGATAGGCATAACTTGATGACATATGTCAAAAGTATTAATGGATAACAAAACTATAAATCCAAACGAAAATCCTCGAATCTTCTTTGAAGATTTATTTTTCCTCAATACTAAAGATTAATTAGTGGAAGAGTTATTAATCTTTTTGAGTTTTAATAATGTACATATCGAAAGGAGAAACAAGTTGAACGTAATGATATTCACAAAACAATAGTGTGTTGCATTTGCCACACCATAACTTGTACAATGCACTCACTACTACAAAAAAGGCGTGTAGAGACACAAAAAAATGTCTTAACAGATGGACTATTAAGACAGTTTTACTTGTTAAGACACTTGAGGAATGTGTCTCAAAATTCAATGTAACAATAACTTTAATGTAGTTATACATGGTCTTTGAAGTCATATCATAAGTGTAGTAACATAGGATCTTTGAAGGCAGTTCGGTTTCACATAGAGAGACTTTTTAATGCCTTAACAAATTATGTATCATGTCACTTGGTAAAATAGAGGCAGTTTGAAGTGCATTAACAACTTATCTATTGTGTCATTTATAAATGATTTCCAGCATCATTAATTTAAAAAATAAAAATTCAGTAAAATTATCTTTTTCATAATACTTTCAGAAAATTAAAATATTTAACTAAAAATTAAATTTTTATTATATTAAGAAGAGCCAAAGAAGAAAGTACAATCTAAGGTAGCACTAGCTAATAAAAGGAGAAAGGAAAGGAACATCCTATTAATCTATTATTAACACAATATCCTCACAAACCAAATTCAAACTGCACTTTTCTTAAGTTGCGTCCTTTCGTTCACCTAGGAAATTATCTTCCTAATCGATTTCCTATTCGCCAAAACTGAAGATCTTCTACTTCTCTTTCATTTGTCCTTCTTTAATCTTTGGATATGATAACAGTGATAGAAGATTGGTCACTGTGTCAAGAATCCCTCCGCTTTTCTCTTTTCAATGAGGGCCTAAAAAAAAAATTCCAACTATATCAATTAAAAGGGATGACATACAAGCAATCAAACTCAATAATACAAGACACTATGAAAAATGAACACCAAATGAAATTTTAATCTAAATCAAACTAAGAGCGACAAACCTGAAGGTTGAGCAACAAAGATAAGTACAAAGGTTAAAGATCATAACAGAGAAAGGCCACATCCAAATCCATGTTTTCTTCAAAACAAGGGCATCAAACCTAAAAATGCATTTGAATTTGGGGCTTCAGATGAAGTTATATGACACCTGAAACATAGCAAAATAAATAACCAAGAATAATCATTAAGATCAGCAAAAGCACATAAATTTGAATGTAACACAAACTAAGAGAAAATCCTTAGGTATTTATAAGGTCACACCTTAGTGATAGAACTAGTCATCATTATTCTTAAAGGTTATCTACTTAGGAATTACTAACAAAAGTCTGAATTCAAGTCATAATGATGCCCTAAGAGGGCTCACACCGTAGAAAGATTTACTAACACAAGTAACTCAAAGTCTCATGTTTTCTTCACCCAATTATCTCCCTGGACTCTTTTGCCAAAATATGGGCAGCACTAATTTGTTCATCAAGGAAATAATAGCTACTCTAAATCGAAGAAAAGGAACAAAATAAACACCTCAAATGCTCTATTTCGTGTTCAACAACCTAAGAAAATTAATAGAATAATTATTACAAACACCTTGTGTGCAAGGAGACATGAACAACACCATTTTAGATAAAATATAACAAACAAAAACCCCTACAATGCTTAAAATATCAATCTGCAATCTAAATCAATTCAGAAAAAGAGAGCAATTAACCAAGAAAAAAAAATTAAACCAAAAAAAATAATTACGGAAAAAACAAAAAGATCAATCTAAAAGAGAGATTAAGAAGAGCCCTTTCAGATCAAAAGATCAATCCGAAAGATCTGAGCCAAATAATTGATCCAAACAAGTAAATCATTGTAGATCATAATATCACAGCCCTTTTTCTTTGTAGCAGATTTGAGCGCAAAAAGCATAGAGCGAAATTGAAACTGCCTTCAACTCAAAAATAAATTTATGCTTTGTATGAAGGATTTTTCTGAATTATGCGAAACACAAGATGTAGATGGTGGGGAGACGTCAAAATTTCAAACTTAATTTTGGAGAAACGTTAAGAAAAACTCTTGCTAGAGTGATGAAATAAAATTGGCGAAAAGAACTACACGATGAAAATTTTAAAATAAATAAATAATAAAGACTCACATTGATAAGTCTTCGGGTATTTTTATTTTCTTTTTTCTTTTTTTAAGGCCCTAAAGCAGGAGATAATTAAGTCCTTGGACTGTTTTCTCTTATATATGCAAGGATTTTTCTATTATAAAGAAATGCCTCAATAACTTAATGCCTTAAAAGGCGGTTTACAGTGACATGTTGGGTTAAGTGCCATTACAAGGTTGGAGTCTTAGTGTAGTATGAGACCCTTTTTTCTAGTGACTCTTTTCTGTCACATTTAACTAATTGACTTTTTCATTGATTCCATTTTCAACGAAGTATATGAATAAGATGAAACAAAATTAAGATTACGATAGTCTATGGGGCTTGCGGACTGTGAAACGCTAGCGACACCATCGATTAAATAGAAAATAAACTATTGGAATCTTTTACGGAGGATGGCTAAAGTACATATATCCTCCTAAATTTTATATGTTGTGCAACACCAAAATAACACCGAGAGTGCTCTATGATGCTCACTCCCATCTTAACTCGTACTCTGTCCTTATTTTAAGATAATTTAATTTGCACTAATTTTATTTAATATATTCTTCCAATTGAAAATAAAAATTTAAAAGTATTTATAACAATTGGAACAACACAATAAATGTGAAAATTCATTTTAAAGGTTTTATTTTTATTTAAAAAACATACTAAATAAAATTTAAGAAAAATAAAAATGCCTTATAATAATGAACGGAGGGAGGGTGTGTTAACTTTCTATTCCCTATATTCCAAAATTATTGTCTAGTTTGGATTTTCATGTTTAGTACAAATTTACAAAAAATGAAAATCTAAACTGGGTAATAATTCTGGAACAGAGAGAGTATAGTTTTGCCAAAATAAAATTTAAGAAAACTTAAGAAAAATATGCATTATAATAAAGAACGAATGGAGAATTACCTTTCTATTTCCTCTATACCTTATGTCTCGAAATTATTATCTAGTTTGGATTTTCATGTATAGTACAAATTGAAAAAAAAAGAAAATCTAAATTGGATCATAATTCTGGGACGAATGTTCATGAGTAGCTTCCTTGAAAAGGAGCAGCGAAGTGTTTCAATAAGAAAGTGACTTGCAGATTAACTTTGTTGTTCACATTATTTTTGTAATTTTTACCCTATCAATGTTTGTCGACCCTTAATTTGCTCATCTTTTTAATCACCGTTGTTTAGTTATGTCACAAGGGTGGGGGCGAATTTGTTAGTTTGAGCAAAAAAAGAAAAAAGGTCTTCAGAGGTATTAAAAAGAGTTTCCCATGCTCGTGCCTTAGGGTGACCTGGGTCAAACTTCAGTCAATGTTGACAATCATGATCTCGTTATTATGTTACGCTCACCAAAGAAAATGTCTCGACAGGCAGTATGTTTGTGTTGCGTGTGTTACATCATCAAATTGGAGCACCTAGTTTATCATCTTGTTTTGTTAATTTAGGCGACATAAAAAGTAGTAACCTTACCATTCCACGAAAGGTAGTCTACATAATTACAATGTGTAAATTGCAATAATTTTAATATAATTAACAAACAATGATGTGAACAATTTTATTTATTTTATTTTAAGACGGGCGTATCACTCTGCACAGGAGGAAAATGCATATTATTGCCTTCAAATGTAAATGAAGAGTAATACTGAAGTAAATATGAATTGTACTACCGGATTA